GCGCGTTGTGCTCCAGGTCGGCGGCGCCCGCCACCCCGTCCCAGCCCGGCGCGGCTCCAGCCGGTCAGCCCTGGCACTCGCGCTCCGCTGCAGCGAGGACGGCGAGAAGGGCGGCGAGCCCGCCGGGCCTCCCGAGAAGGCGGCACCGGTCCTCCGGACGCCGACCCAAGGAAGCCATGGAACTGCCGGGAGCGAGAGAGCGAGCAAGCGAGAGACAGAGAGACAGAAAGCGAGAAATCACCCACCAGGGGGGATGGTCACGCCGCAATCCCTTCTCCTCCATTCTCCTCTTGGGATCTTGGGCACGCACGCACACGCGCCCGGCGTGAGTTTTAAGCCACCGGGTCCGGGACACGAACCGCGGTCGACTACGTGGGAGTCCAGCGACATAGCCATTATGCTAACTGCTGGTTCCTCCACTCGCTATTTCTTACCACCTCTTATTGGAAAATCATACTGACACTTTAAAACAGGTTGAAAAGGGAACCAGCAGTTAGCGTAATGGCTATGTCGCTGGACTCCCACGTAGTCGACCGCGGTTCGTGTCCCGGACCCGGTGGCTTAAAACTCACGCCGGGCGCGTGTGCGTGCGTGCCCAAGATCCCAAGAGGAGAATGGAGGAGAAGGGATTGCGGCGTGACCATCCCCCCTGGTGGGTGATTTCTCGCTTTCTGTCTCTATGTCTCTCTCTATCTGTCTGGCGAGCGCACGCGCCCTACAGTGAAAATCTCTCAAAAAAAAAAAAAAAAACAGGTTGAAAAGAGTACTTTCTCCTTCTCTTGACTCCCTGTCCCCAGTTTCACCATCTCCAACTTTTTGTTGCTCCATTTTAGATACTTCAAATGTTACAGCTGGAGATCAGCAGATAGCTTAAGAGTTATGTCATTGTACTCCCACATAGTCGACCATGGTTTGAATCCCTAGCCCAGAAGCTTAAAGCTCACACTGGGCATGTGTGTGTGCATACCCAAAATCCTGAGAGGAGAACAGAGGAGAAGGGATTGTGGCGTGGCCATCACCCTGGTGTGGGGGGTGATTTTTCTGTTTCTGTCTTTCTGTTTCTTCAGTGAGTGGACATGCCCTATAAAGAAAACTCTCTCTTGGCACCAGCAGTTAGTATAATGGCTATGTCGCTGGACTCCCATGTAGTCGACCGTGGTTCACATCCCTGACCCGGTGGCTTAAAACTCACGCTGGGCACGTGTGCGTGCGTGCCCAAGATCCCAAAAGGAGAATGGAGGAGAAGGGACTGTGGCGTGGCCATCCCCCCGGGGGGTGATTTCTCACTTTCTGTCTCTCTGTCTCTCTCTGTCTGTCTGGCGAGCACAAGCGCCCTATAGCAAAAACCTCTCCCCCCCCCAAAAAAAAGAGAGAGAGAGAGAGAAAAATCTCTCTCTTAAAAAAGATTAAGTTAAGTTACAGTTGTAATTCTGTGTTGTAATCAGTTTATCTGTTTCCCACAGCAGGGTTGGCATATTCGTCTTTGTATCCTGGCCTCCAGCCCAGTACCAATCACAAAGAATACATTCCATATTTTTCCTCAGTCAATGAATTAAATAATTAAGTAATTACATTCCCCTCTTCTTCCTCTGGTTTTAACCATAGAAGATTGTCTTAATGGAAATCACAGTTTAAAAAATCATAATAAAGACTACTTCATGTTATCGAGGAAGTATTATGTTGGTCTGTGTCCTTACTGATGATGATCAGTGCAGAAAGCACTGAGGAGTGCAGAAAGCAAAAAAAGAGCAGCTTTATAACATTGTGTGGTCAGGAAAGTAACGACACATTTTTGCAGAGAAAAATACATCATGACTTGCCCTACAACCTAATATTTAATTAATGCAGGCTGAGTACAGTGAATCACAAAATAATTCGTATTTCCACAAAAGGCCAATTAAAATAGCTTGAAACAGTATAAACTGCACCAGTTTTTTTTTTTTTTTTTTGGAGAGGTTTTTGCTATAGGGCACGTGCACTCACCAGGCAGACAGAGAGAGACATAGAGACAGAAAGCGAGAAATCACCCCCCGGGGGGATGGTCACGCCGCAATCCCTTCTCCTCCATTCTCCTCTCGGGATCTTGGGCACGCACGCACACGCGCCTGGCGTGCACCAGCTTTTAATTAATCCCTGAAGAGGTGTAAAAAAAACTCTGGTCAAGTTGCAATAAGAAAGCAGTGTAGGGGACCAGCAGGTGACCTGGTGGTTAAAGTCTGGGACTCCCACACGGCTGACCAGCTGGAGTTCTAGACCTGGTGGTGTGAAAACAACGTGGGCACAAGACAAAATCCCAGGAGGAGAATGGGAAAGAGGGGATTGCGGGGATGGCCAGCAACCCCTGGGAGGTGATTTCTCACTTCTTTGTTTCTCTTTGTCTCTCTCCAGCGAGCATATGCGCCCTATGACAACTCCACACACACCCCAAAAAAGCGCAGCGTAGTAGGAATGTCTACTATTACTGGAAAGTACTAGGTTGGGAGCCAAGCCGCAGGGTCCGGGATTCAAACCTCAGCCAACCATGTGGGAGTCCAGCAACATTCTGGTTTAGCAATATGCATCGTTAGAATCTGCTCATCTCTCGTTTGCAGAAACTGGTCTGGGACTCCCACCTGTCCTCCGCCCTAGGATAGGAAGGTCATTGGTCAAAAGGGACCGACCTTCCCCAGGCTGAGTTCTTTACTAAACCGACGCAATTCTCTCTGAACTACGATAATTTATTACATCAGTTAACACCGGTGAAGTAGATTCAACGTTCATCTTAGATCCGTCTCCCTCATTTTCTCCACTCACCATGAGGAGGAAAGTGACAACTCTCGCTGTCAGAAAAGTCTGGATTCAGGAGTGTGGACAAACGCTCCCGGGTTGTCAGGACGACAGGCCCCGCCCCGCAGGGCTGCGCAGTCGCGCTAGGGTTCTTCTGCCCCGCCTTCTTTACCGCCAGGTTGCCCCACCCCTAGCCCCGCCCAGCTTCGCGGGGGACGGACCGAGGAGTCGAAGCGGTCGGAGGCTTTTACGGCTGTGGCCTGCCGGAAAGTGCGTGAGTGCAGCCATCGGGGCGTTCTGTTGTTTTCCGGATCCCGGGTCCGAAGGCGGTGAAGTATGCTCTGGGCGAGGACCGTAGGGTTTGGGGTTTCGGAGCCCTTCAGACGTTGACAGCAATTGTCCCTGTTTTCCTAGATGTGTTGGGATGAATCTTCCTGTGAGGGCTTCCGGAAGGGAGTAAGGGTAAGATTGGGTCAAGCTAGTGACACCAAGGGGCTGTCAGGGCCACTTCAGTTTAGGCCAGCAGGGAAATAAACTGGCTCCTAAAGGGTTGGTTCTTTTGAGATTAATGACCTTTTTTCGCTCATGGTTCTGTTTACTTCCTGTGCGAAGTAAATGTCCTTTTCCCTAAAAGCAGTCCTAAACAAGGATTGAAAATGATTTGAAGCAATTTCTGGGTAAAATATTCCTTGCATGTGAAGATCTTTGAGGCCCGGCAAGACTCCTTTATTTGTCAAGGTCACAGACCGATTGCCCTAACCAGTAGCACCACCTTTGGGATTTCAGTCACCTCCCCACATGAAGAAACACTGGCACCGTAGACCAACAGGAAAACGAAAGGAAATTCCACTCAATGAGGCTGTTCGCCTTCCAAAACCCAACTGAGTTCTCTGTGACTTTAGGATCTACCCAAGCCGTTCTAGAATGATGAGACTTGAAAGACTAAAATTACTGACACCATGTTTCATCTCTGAATTCTAATTTTATAATGTCCTATGCTTTCCAATGGCATTGTCTATATGTGTTGCTCCTAGATAAATTGTACTGAGCTAGTTTTTGTGGCCAAAAATATCCATCCGAGCATCCAAAAATCCAGATTGTTTAATAGCCATGACATCTCACCCTGAAATCCTGGTAGCAGGATAGAAACATGTTACTGTCAACTTCAAATAGAGTTCTAATTCAGTACACTAGCTATCTGGTATGGAGATAAGCTTTTGTTTTAAGTTTATTTTTTTCATACAAACATCAGTAGATGTCTTACCATACAAAACCTCAGTCAACTGAAACTAGGATCAATGGTGTTATGGTAATTCCAAATTAGCTGAAAATAGTGGGCCTCTCTTTAATAGAGGTCTTACCCAAGCTCTCATTCTATCAACCTCCCTCCTAGGGATGAGGAATTGCTAGGGTGTACTCTATGATATAAATAGCAGTGAGCTCCTTCCTCATCTCACACTCCTTATACAGGTTTCCTAAGTAGGAAGGCAGCCTATTCCCTGTTCTTTGTCTTCAGACAGGTGTAGTACCTGACTCTTCTGAACATACATAACCATCTCCTCTTAACTCGTCTAATTTGGCTTCTAGGCCTAGATCAAGCTGAATGCCCAGTTACCGGGACAAACTTCCTTGCCACCTACCTCTAACTACATACCCTCTGGTGCTGGCAAATGTGTTGAAATTTCTGTGCAAAGCCTTCTATGCTTTATGAGTTTGGGACAATGTGCTTCACCGGAGTCAAGTCTTCTAGAACCCGATGACAAGTAACATTGCAGTGCCTGTCTTTGCCAGTTTCCCTTCAGCTTTTTTTTTTTTTTGGAGAGATTTTGCTATAGGGCATGTGCGCTCGCCAGAGACAGAGAGAAAGTGAGAAATCACCCCCCATGGGGGATGGCCACACTGCAATCCTGTCTCCTCTTGGGATCTTGGGCATACACGCACATGCGCCTGGCTTTAAGCCCAGTCCAGGACCTGAACCGCAGTCGACTACATAGGAGTTCAGTGACAATCATTACGCTAACTGCTGGTCCCTCCTTTCAGCTTTTTATTGTCATCTGAACTTCATGGGGAAAGAGCTATTAACACCACCACCAGGAATTAACTGTAACTTCTAGTAAAATGACAATTTTGTTAACTCAGGATTGGAGCTGCTTAAGTCTTGTCCTGAGACACTGGAAAAAAATCAGTAGGGGGCCAGTCCTGTAATGTAGGGGTTAAGGGAACAAAGCTCATCCACAATTCAAGTCCTGGCCCCAGCAGCTTGAAAGGCACCCTGGGCACATTTGCATGTGTGCCCAAAGCCCTGAGGGGAAAGAGAAATAGAGGAATAGGGATAATGGTGTGACCACACCCTATTAAGGGATGCTTTTTCTCTTCTGTGAGAATACCCACAGATGCCCTGTGGCAATTGAAAACAAAAAAAAGTCAATGGGAATCATTCCTTTTTACCACACACCCATTCTAGGTCACTCTATTATTTTTATATTTTTTTCTTAAGAGTTTTGTTTACAGGATGCATGCTCTCTCCAAAGAGGGAAAGTGAGAAATCATCCCCAGGGTGGGGAAAGGGGAGGGGATGACCATGCCACAACCCCTTCTCCTTTCTCTTCTCAAACTTTTGGGCGGGCATGTGCCTAGCATGTTTTACAATCCACCATTTCTGGGACTCAAACCACCCAGATTCTTCCAGTCCGTACCCCCCAGACCCCTTCTCAGATTTACCAGTCCTTTTCTCAATGACCTCTAAATAGAATTGGCCTGCCTTGAGAGCTGGGTAAAGACAATCTGCCTTTTGATGATAAAGTAACATGCACAACATTTTCCAACTGGGATCCAAATCTGGTTCTAATTTATTCCACTGTGAGATAAAAGGAGGTATACCTACATGCCTATAGCAGTCTGTTTTCTCTCTCTCAGTATCCTATTTCCTTCACAGGACTTGTCATAATTCTTAATTATCTTGTTTGCTTATGTTTTCCGTAGATGTTAATTCTGTGATAGGTGATCTTATCTGATATGTTCATAGCTACATTCTAGTATCTGGAACATTATACCAGTGAAACAAAAACTGTTCAATAAGTATTGAATGTAAAAGAAAAGTTACCATTTTTTGCAATGTGTAAAATCCTTTTCTCATTGATTTTAAAAAACTACAATGTAGTTACTTGCAAAATAATTTATTTCCTTTAGGTATGTTATGTATAAAAGTGGATAATTTCTATGGTAAATGAGAATGGCCAATTCTTTAAGAGGAGAAGTATTGAGTCTTTATAAAAATGTAAGTATGTTGCCAACTTTATAATTATGTCATTACATGGTGTGGATTATTTGGAAATATATAATCTTTCTTTTTTAAGCTGCTGTATCTTGGACGAGACTATCCAAAAGGAGCAGACTATTTTAAAAGGCGTTTGAAGAATGCTTTCCTTAAAAACAAAGATGTGAAAGACCCAGAGAAGATCAAAGAACTTATTGGACGGGGTGAATTTGTGATGAAAGAGCTAGAAGCATTATATTTCCTTAGGAAATACAGAGCTATAAAACAACGCTATTATTCAGATGTCAATAAAAGTAACTAAACATTACCACTATAATTTGGCTTAAAAAAACAATGTCAGCTGTTTATGTATATGCCAAAAACTATAAAATAATTTCAACTTAAAATGGTGAGATATACATGTTGTATAAAAAAAATGGGCTGCCCTACTAAACTAAAATTAATAGGTTTCAACTTCTTACTGGGAGTTTTATCAACCTTTCATGCTCAGTTTTTATACTAAAACAGCAATTTAGCAATACTGTAAAAACTTAGCGAGCACCTAATTTTGAATTAAATATAATACATAATTTTCCAACTTAACAGGTTTACCCAATTATTCTTAAGGCCACCTCCCACTCTGACAAGAGAATGTCATTTAGTGCACAAGTAATAGAATAATTCCTTACACATTTATTCTCAATTTTTGAAAGGAGAACCTTATTTTTTAATCCAATTTGGTACAGTAACAGCACACAGTCAAGATTCACTACAAAACAAATTGCACCTGGTAATGATTAAATGTAGTTGTAGAAATAATATATATGTGTACTAAGATTATTTGGCCTTGAAACAGCCTGCCAATGATTGGCATTACATACATAACTATTCAATTATTCCCACTAACTAATTTTGCTGTTGGCTCCCTTTGGGCTTTAAAACAAAACACTTGTTGTATATCAGTTACCGTCTCCGGATTAAAAACCAACAAATAATATTATTCTGGTCTTCTGTCATAAAGGCAGATCTGTTTTGTATATACTTCAAAGTGAGTTAACACGGCAGTGAACTTAAATCTAATATGACTTAATGTTTACGCTAACACTTAATCCTTTACATAGAGATCATTAACACCTTCTATAAATAAAGGAATTTCTAACTTACAAACCTCAAAGATTCACTGGTATGCTGTAGCATCTGTGGACTACAAAGTATTACAATGAACTGCAGGGCTAATATTTCATACTTCCATCAAGAAATACACTCTGTCATAGTCACCATAACTATTTTTATTACATTACAATAATTAGGAGCAGTACAGTTCATGACAAAAATATTACAAATTTCAGATCACTTCACAGCACATACTCCTATAAACATTTAAAAGTTAATTTTAATTAAAAGAGTGGTCATTTTTAAATTTAATGTTTGATATGACCAACATTCCTAGGTCAGCGCAACCAAATGATGGAAAACAACTGGATCACACTGCATATGTCCCACACACAAAAAAAGCACAATGTACAAAATGTGCATGTTTCAGTTTACACTATACAAAAATAGTTAAAATACATTCCAGGTAAACATGTTACATTAAGAAATAGTACTAGTAAGAAATTGGCACTCAAAGGAAAAATGCAAAAAGTATTTCAACATGAAACACAAGACAGTGGAATTGGAAACTTTTGGATAAAACATCATTTAATCCATTTAGCTCTATGGGGGAGGGGGGAGAGGAAGGGGTTGACCGTCTGTAATTGACATTTCTGCAGGTAGTAACTTTGTTTTTCCTAAATTCATCTAAACTGCCTATCATCATCCCAAATAGGCACTTCAAACTATTAAAGCAAAACACAAATATTAATCTAGTTGTGACTATTTTTCAAGAACTAATGTGAATAAATATTTAGAAAGAAATAGTTTTCATTTTCTGATAGAATTTACAGCTACCAGTCATATGCTATTCAATTTCTCAATGCAGAATTCATGCTACCCAACATTAACAGAAGTTAGTCAATATAAATTCAGCTTTAAACTGCTGGGTTTTAAAAAACATTCCTACATAATTACCAAGAAGTTACTACTTTTTGACAAATAGAAATGACTTCAAATAGTTTGTATTGCCTACAAAGAAAAAATCAAAAACAAAAACCAAACACCCCTAACTGTGTATAATAGTTTGGGGGAAAATGGCTAGAAGAAAAATAACCACTGGAATAAAAATGAGATGAACTGTGCAAACTGTAACTTAACATGCCTCACAAAGTTTCTATATGTATTAGGACAAAACTGCAATGGTGGCAAAGGTTTTGATAACCTTAAAGTTAGGTTCTAAATTCCTATGCAGTGTGACTCAGTCAAAATAGAGCCTAGAATTCCTAATTGGGAATATTCACTCAAATTGTACTATAGATGTCTGCTATATTCTTCCACAACAGTTAATGCCTAAAACTATGTAATTTAGCACTTTTCTTTTAAACTTCAAGAAGGATTTTTATCTTTAAGGCTGTAATTATTGGATAACATTAATGTTATTTCTAGGATTCTCTCTCCTTTTAAAATCTCTACAAACCTTTTGTTAAACCATTCAATATTCACATACTAAAGGATAATTGCCACTACTTAAAAAAAATTGCCCAGCTACATCAAAATATGAAAGTCCTAAATATCCCCAGTTATACTTTGCAGTTTCTGAAGTATGGCTGTTTCTCTACAGAAAATAGGAGGTACTGTGGAAGTCCTAACACCTTACTTAGACAATGTTCCATAAATGTGAAGTTTAACATTAACATTTCAGAACTCATACTGATTTTTACACAGAAGTTTCCTTTTCTGTGAATTAGTTCAGGCACCTGTTTACTTGCACCCAGATAAAATTACGTAAGAAGTCAATATTTCATTTTAAAACTATTTTAATTACACAAAGAGAAATACACTCTGTGTATTACACAAAGAGTAATACACGCTGGGAATTTTAAGATTAGTATCTGACATACAACTTAATGTGTATAATAATTGTCCCAACAGAATTATATCAAATCAAAAAACAACATAATCAAGTTTACTCTTTTAAAACAATTAAATAAAGTAATTTATATAAACTAGCTTGATTAAACAGTTATATTGGAATCATGGCAAATGATTGTTTTAGAACTGAAAGAAACCTTAGAAAAAACGCACTACATTATCTCTGGGTCATGTGCCAGATGCCTTATTTACTGAGATATTACAGACCACTCCAGCACTGCTTAAGGAAAGAATTATGTATCTTGTTTGGGAACACCATATCCCCAGTTCCTTGTGGTTGGCTGGCAGCTGGTAGGCACTCAAATATTTGTTGAATACACAATTCTGCTAAGAAGCTTTATGAATTAAATTTTAAATTATTTTTCTTTGTTAAGAGTTTAGTTATTAAAACAAGAATGTGTCACTGTTACCAGTGCTAGTTCTAGTTATAGATTACCTAAGGAATTCTTTCAGCACTACTTTATTAAATTCTCCTTCCACTTGATAGTTCCATCTATTCAAGCCAGATTTGAAAATTCCTAGTTACTCAGTAATGGACTGGGCAGAAAGACATGATGTTCAAAGGATCAAGATTAAATTGCTACAACCACCACCTAAAATTAGCTATTTGGTCAAATCCCATTATGGTATCTATCATTGTTTTGAGCTCTGAGAAGAAGATACAGGGCATTCTGACATGATGTAATGGGAAAACTTCACGGAGATATCCATAGCAGCAATACATCTTGAGGTTAGAAGAATCAGAAGTATTAAAAGAAAACCGCATCAAATCAGGGAACAACAGGAAGGGTAGGCAGGAAGGTGATATTAACATGAGAGGAGAGTCTTGAAACTAGAGAGTGGACATTCAAATATAAACTTCACCTCTTGCACAATTTGACCAAGACTGGCACTGAAGGTGGTTAACACAGTTAAAAAGTTACAGACTGTGCTGAGCTTCACATATAGGTGTATCATTATGTAAACTGAATATAAATCACATAGTTGTAAAGTTAGAGCCTTTGAGATGACTTCTTTTAAAACAAAGGAATGGATAGTGATCTGCACAAAATGCGAGTTCTAAAAGACATAACTAGACTCTAAGTCACCTTCCTCCTAGTCCGGTGATATTTTTACCTCACCACACCATCTCACTTAAAATATTTTAAATGCATTGGAAGAATTTTTATCTATTTTTAAGCGTTAGATAATCTTAAATTTGGATTTCACTTAAAAAGTGTTTGTGAAATGTCACTTTTAGCCAGTGTTAAGAGAACTAGCCAAACCTAAAGATCTGAAACATTTCCACTTCATTGTTTAAGAAATTAATGTCTCAGCAACTTCCCAACGCCAAAATCTCAACTTTCAATTTCATATTCAAAAGTAATTTTTTAAAAGATTTTTATTGAAAAAATAATAATGCTCTTGATTTATCAGCAGGACACCATAAAGTGAGAATACATCTTGTTAAGTGATCCAAACTCTCTCTTAGACCCACTATGACCACCAACGCATGACAATACCAGATGACCACAGGGATACAGTCCACACTGGTAAACACTCATTGAAGCTCAGAGGTTCACACAAGGTCTGGCCTTGCAACAACCTTGGTCTTTCTAATACCTACTAAGCTATAACTGGCCCAGATCTTTTTCATCACTACCAGAATTAAAACTATTTTCAAAGACTGAAGCTTAAGAAAAGATTTAAAGTTATGCTAAGAAAGAGCAATATGACATGGAGACTATATTGAATTCCTATGAGAAAGTTTTATACATGTTAAAATTTTTCAATTATAAAAATTTAATAGCACATAAATATAGCCCCCAAATGGCTGCTACAATCCCTACTTCATACTAGGTCTGCCTTAACAGGAAAAGCTATAAGGAATCTTATTTATCTAATTGGAAAGGAAATGGCCTTTTATTATTTTCCATTGCCTTGTAATTTTTTTTTTCAATTTTTTTTCCTTTTTTATAGAAAAAATATAGTATTTCTGGGAGAATGACCATGACTAATAGCAGTAGAAAGGGGGAAAAACCTGCTGTGAATAGTGTAACTTTACATTCATTAAGGATGACAAACTATAGGACATGATGCCTAGAAGATGAATTGACAGGAAGCCCATAAATCTGTTCCCTCAATGTTTCAGTAAAACTAATCATAAATTCTTGACTAAAGTCATAATTGAAATAAATGTATGTATGTGAACTAGATGAAACACAGAATAGGGATGATTTGAAATAGTCATTAATTTGTTTCACAACAAGTTCACAATTTAGGTAAGAAAAATAGGAAGTAATCAACTGCATGCACCAAAAACCCCAAGACAGAAATCTCAGGTATTCAGTTTCTTTTTCACAGGCATTGCTAGTTCAAAAACCAAAACTCAGGGAATACTGGCACTTAGAGGAAAAAACGTTTCCACTGTCATTTTAAAATAAGCATTTAAGATAAAAGCTAACAGTTTGCATGGAGCAAAAAAAAAATTAAGTAATGCTAAAACAAATGCTAATAATTTAGTGTAATGTACAAAAATTACCACTTTTACTTAAGTATGCCTTAAGAAAAAAGTACAAATTGTATTTACATAATTATACACTTTGTCTTTGACTTCTTTTTCTTCTTTTTACCATCTTTGCTCATCTTTTCTTTATGTTTTCGAATTTCTCGAACTAATGTATAGAAGGCATCATCAACACCCTGAAATACATAAGAAGCATTAAAAATGTGAATATTTATATATCATGGCTTTATGTATATGGCTAATAGATTTCCATTATTAATGGAACATTAATATTGAGAAACAATAGGACATTTTACATTTCTCTTTGGCAATTGAATATATATCATATTTATCAGGCTTTTAATATTCTTAAATGTTCTTCATGGATACTTTGTCAGTATTATATAAAGGAACATTAATTTTCACAATAAGCAACGATAATGAATGGCAAAGAATTTCTTCAGCGTAAGAAATGACATTTTTAAGTTCAAGGAAATTTAATTAGCTTTTAGTTTTCTCATATTGGCAAACTTCAGTCACTAAAACCAAATGCATCCCTGTATGCATATGTGTACTTAACTATCCCTGTGTTTCTCAGTTTTAGATATAAGCCATACAACTACAGGTTTGTAAATCTTCACAGTAGCAACAATTTCGGGCTCTGTTTCCAAACGTCTTGTGAAATTCATGAGATTTAAATAATTTACCAAGAAGTAAATAGTATCTGAACATACTATTCTAGTAATTACCAAGAAGCAAGCAGTACCGAGCATACTTCAATTTCAAATAATATGTACTAATACATACTACACTTATCGCAAAGAAAGAGGTTTAAAGTGATACCAACATAAGGAAGTCCTACTTTGAAAATGTAGGGAATTTAGTTAAATCATTTGAATGGTGTGCAATTTACCAATATGGAGGATACTTACTTATTATTTTTTTAGTTTCTGTTTAGTCTATTAAATATTAAAAAACCTAACATGTAATATCTTCGAAGAGTTTTCAACATTTGATCACTGTGGCCCTATACCTATTTGTGATCAAAGCAAGGTATATAAATCAGTTATAGTTAAAAGTGATTTTTAGGGATGAGCAGGTGACATAGTGGCTAAGGCGCTGGACTCCCACATGGCCATGGTTCAAGTCCGGGACCTGGTGGCTTGCTTTCTCACTTTCTCTGTCTCTCTCTGGTAAGTGTGCATGCCCTATAGCAAATTTTAAAAATTAATAATACAGGGACCAGCAGTTGGCGTAATGGCTATGTCGCTGGACTCCCACGTAGTCGACCGTGGTTCGCGTCCTGGACCCGGTGGCTTCAAACTCACGCCGGGCGTGTGTGCATGCGTGCCCAAGACTCCAAGAGGAGAATGGAGGAGAAGGGATTGTGGCGTGACCATCCCCCCTGGGCGGTGATTTCTCGCTGTCTCTCTGTCTCTCTCTGTCCATCTGGTGAGCGCATGCGCCCTAGAGTGAAAAAACCTCTCCAAAAAAAAAAAAAGAATTAATAATACAATTAAAATAAATATTAGGTTGTTAGGAAAGTGGTGATATATTTTTGTTTTGTAATGTAAAAATGCATCATGACTTTCCTGATGACCCAATAATTCTTTAAGAAAAAAAGTGATTTTAAGTCAGAATAATATAAATCCATAATGTAAACACTGGTCCTCAAAAGTGGTAGTAGGACAGATTTTAACCATACAGTACTTAAATTATACAAGCTCCCTATATAATTCAATTCTTGTTATGTCACTGTTGAAAACAAAATTAAATATTGAAGCAAAAAAAAAGAAACCTGAATTAAAAATATACTCCTCCTGGTATTTTAAAATTTGTTCAACTGTGTGGTAACTCTAAAAAGAAAATCTGCAAACCTAGTAATACTTCCAAACCTAAACACTAGAGGGAGCCTTAGGAACAAATACCCGACAAATTAAGTTGTACAAATCAAGAACATAAAGAACAATAAAATTTGGATTCTTATTGTAATCACCTCTGTTGAATATGAAAAACTGTATAAATATTATAATATGCATTGTAAATATTGTGTATAAATATATTCATTTTATACTATCTTAAAAATAATTTTAAAATTAAATGATATTTCTCCTTTACTGCACTGCTAAGATATTCAACAATATTTCAAAGTAACACCAGAATTAATTTGGAACATTTTCTTTCATTTTACATTTAACTAATGTTTACTACAGATCTATAATTCAGAGAAGCATGAACAATATTATAAAAGAGGTAAACACAGTGTGACTGAGAGGTGTGCTCACATTTAAACAAACAGGATAAAACCACCATTAATGATTTGAACACTAGTGAATAAACGTGCCAATAAAATCTCTAAAGTACATTCACTGATGATTTCCACTTTCTGATATTATTACTGATAAAATACAAACATATATGTTTGTTTCTCCAAAAGGGGAGAGGGGTAAGGGATAATTTATCACCAATATAAGCAATAGATAGATATCCCATCATGTTAACCTTAATACACATGGAAGGAAAAACTTCCAATAATATGAAACTATTTGATATTGTTTGTAGCTTACCAAGATTAGACAATAATCATAAACCCTTATGACAGGGTGGAATCATAAAGAAGATCTAATCTGGCCCAATTATAGAGATACAGGTGGTAGCGTACCACCCTGCAATGCTGGAGTCATATGGAAGACTGTGGTTCAGATCCCAGGCAGATCTGAAACAAGCCAGTGTGACTTGTGTGACTGTGATGCTGTCTGGGTGTAAAGACGGGAGAGGGGAAAGACTGTAGCATGATGAGATCTTGTCAAGGTTTCTCTCTCAATAAACTTTAAAAAGGCGGGGGTGGGGGGCACAGGAGTTGAATCTAATTTCTCTACCCTTCATGAACAAATTCCCTTTGATCACACATCTTTATGTAGCCTACTCCCTTTTACTACTTTTGTTAATGAAGAAAAATGCAAATAGTACTAAAATAGTGAAGCAGGAAAAATGAAATCATGAGATGGATAGAGAGAAGACACATTCTATGGTGAGAACAATATGCAAGTATTTAAAAGACAATGAGGACAGCCTTTACTAATAGTAACTTCTTTTGAAATCCGGAAAAATTCTTTAGATTCATGCTGTACTAATCTCTCCTCTCTATATAATCTTATTAGAATTAAGTAGCAACAGGTGGCACAGAGGTTAAGTGGCTGGGTCCCACATGGCCAACTGCATGGTTCAAATCCCAGGCTCAGAGGCCTGAAGATTACTCCAGGCACCTGTGTTTGTGTGCCCAAAATCCCCAGAGGGGACTTAAGGGATAACAGCATGGCCATCCCCCCAGGGGTGACTTCTCATATTCTCCGTCTCTGGCAAAAGCACACACCTTATAGCAAAGCTAAAATGAAACAAAATAACAAAAGTATTTCTTTGATTTGCAAATTATCACAACCTACATGGGACAGTACAACATTCTCATGTATATGTAAAATAGTACTATCCCACTCATTATTTTGTCTAAATTTTTAATATTACCAAGTACACTTATTAAAATGTAAATGTGGGCCAGTCCTGTAGTGCAGCGGTTAAGTGCTGTGCAAAGGGAGTCAGACCTCACATGGTTAACCACAGTTTAAATCCCAGTCCCAGAGGCTTAAAAACTTTGGGCCACTGTGTGTGTGCCCAGGATCCTGACAGAGTAAGAGAAATGAAGGAGGACCAGCAGATGGCGTAATGGTTACATTACTGCACTCCCAAGTAGTCGACTAAAGTTCAAGTCCTGGACCCAGTGACCCAGCGACTTAAAACTCATATGCGGGCATGCCCAAGATCCTGGGGGAAGAGTAGAGAGGGGACTGCAGTGTGACCAGGCCTTGTTGGGAGATGCATGCACCCTCTCTCTTTCTCATGCATGCAAATGTGTGCACATGCACCCTCTGGTATATACCAAATAAATACAAACATACTATCCATGTGCACTGAAAAAAACAAGAATTCTATTCATGTCAAACAATCAATTGACATTTATACTTTAGTCACTGTGAAAATAGTTTGTAAAATTTTAACTGTAGAAGAGTAAATGCTAGCACTTTTGTTTTAAGTATAAATTAAGTACAAAACTATTTTAGTCTCAAAAGTTCTATTTTAAAAATCATCAAATAGTGGGACCAGCAGTTAGCATAATGGCTATGTCACTGGACTTTCACGTAGTCGACTGTGGTTCGAGTCCCGGACACGGTGGCTTAAACTCACGCCAGGCACATGTGTGTGTACCCAAGATCCCGAGAGGAGAATGGAGGAGAAGGGATTGCGGCATGGCCATCCCCCTGGGGGGTGATTTCTCGCTTTCTGTCTCTCTGTCTCTTTCTGGCGAGTGCATGCGCCCTATAGCAAAAACCTCTCCAAAAATCAAATCAAACAGAAATGAGCAAACGAGCTAACTAGACAACTCTCCCAGGAAGACTTATGAATGGCTAAGAGCCATATGAAAAAAATGTTCAAAATCTCATCGTAAGGGAAATGCAAATGAAAACCTTTGTCTTTTTTCAAGATTCAGATGTTTTTAGAAGCAGGAGCCGCTGCCAGCAGTCAAGTCTACTTCAAATCAGATTTAATCCCGCGGGGATTGCGGCATGGCCATCCCCCTGGGGGGTGATTTCTCGCTTTCTGTTTCTCTGTCTCTTTCTGGCGAGTGCATGCGCCCAACAACAAAAACACTCACACACACAAAAAAAATTTTTTTTAAATCATCTAATAGTGAGAAAGCAGGAAAATATTAAAAATGTAAATAGCCACTTAAATCTAGTCATGGTACTGTTATTTAAAAAGATAAACTTCTCAGGGCCAGAGTGTAGTGTGGTGGTTTAAAGCACTATATTCTCAAGTGGCTGACTCTACTTTGAGTTCTGGAGCCAATGGTTTGAAAATCACACTGGGTGTATGTGTGCCCAAAATCCTAAGACAGGAGAATGAAGAAGGGATTGTAACATGGCTATCCCCCTTAGGGGGTGAGTTCTCATTTTCTCTCCGTCTCTCTTTGTCTCTCTCCAGCAAGTGCACATGCCCTGTTGCAAAAATCTAAAAAAAAAAAAAAAAATCAACTTTTCAAACTGCACTATGTTAAACTAAAATACTGCTGTAAACAATACTCAAAAACAGTTAAGAGATCATAAATCTCAAAATTAATGCTAGTCATGCTTTGTTTCTTCTG